TGTGAAGTGTTTCAGCAAGGCTAAGTTCACTCCCCAGGGGTTTCTCTTCAGCCTTCTAGCATTTCTTCCAGTAAATGCCAATAGACCAGCCAGTAAGTGCTGATGAACCTACCAATAAATGCTTCTGGACTCAGGTATTCTGAATTGAATGAACCTATATTAGTAAACACCAAAATATATGTTCTCTGTAAAAAAGATTAATAACATACTAATGTGTACCTTAGACATCACTCTTGTCTCAAAAGGCCTCAATATAAAGAGTAATAATTCACCTTTAAATTAGCCTAAAGGTACAGATAAAAGTGTTATATTTTATTCTCTAAAGTAAAGTCAATTATAAGAGCAGAAAAATAACACTTCTTATAGTCTTCAACTATCATGAAGGCATTGGCTTTATACTAGAAAACCCTATAGCACTAAGGTAAAATGTTTATTTGTATCTCTACTTAGCTCTTAACTATAAGAATGATAAGAATAATGATTTATGTTATTTAATCTGCCAGAGTTTGATGTGGAAAAAATATCAGAATATAAGAGCTATCACACAACTATGAATATATTATTCAGTAAGCTATGTCCAAGGTAAAATTAGCAGTACAGTTTCTAAATTTCTGTCCACGTGCAAAACAGAAACAATTCAGAAATGGTCTTTTGCAGCATAATTCATTCATTCTACTTCTCCTCAATGCTTTCTCTGCAGTGGAACTGAAAGTGACCCAGAGTATCAGTCATTTTAATTCCAGTGGATATAAAGAGATCCATTTGGCTGTAACTTGCATATTGCTCTTTGGAATTCAGAAAAAACCTGCGCTGTCAGTGTTTATGTCACTAGTATTCAGGTTGCCCAAATTCTTTAAACTAATTTTTAAGGAAAAAGATCATCTTCAAAGAGAGTTCTCTAAGATATGTTATATATACTGAAAAGGTAGGCACAATAATCCCATGCATGGGTCCATGTATCAGTATGGGTACACAAACAAGGTGATCTGAGGGGTCCTGGAAAATATGTGTTACAGTTCACTTTTCTCATTATCTTTGTATAAAAGCCCCAGAAAAATTAACTTTTAACAATATCTGATTTACAGATTAGCATTGACAACCTTAGTAGGCCCAAATTTCAAAAGATCACATGTGGTACTAAAATAGTAGCATCAGCTGGGATGGGGGGAAGAACTCAGCAGTATGATAGAATTAGCAGTGATATCCTTGTTATTGTATGTTGAGAGGAATTAGAATCTCTGTATTCTAGTTTAAATATATTAAAAGATTATGCTATTTTTTTAAAGAAAATCAGTGCAAAATGACAAGTGGTTTAGAGTGTTTCTGTAAGAACCTGTGATCGGAAGGTAAAATTAATTATGGACAATTGGATAACTTCTGTTTCTGTAAAATAGCAAAGCTGATATGTATCTTTTAAAGGTTTTTGTCAAGTGAAATGCAAAATAAAAACAACAATGATGTGATAGAAATAAAAAAATTCTTCAAATCTGAAATTGTCTGCAGTATTGAATAGGTACTATTTTGTACAATTAGATTTTGTTTTATGTGTCTTAAACATACATTTATTGTAGAATTGTGAAACATAAACTAAAGGTGCATAAACTAAAGCTGTAAATAAAAAAAACGCTGTAAGCCATAAACTAAAAATGTTTAAACACCATATTGATTATAGCACTTTCTTCTCAACATTAAAAGATGACATCTACCAAGATGAACAATTTGATATGTGACATGACATTAAAGTTTCTTTTTAATCATTTTTAAAAATCCAGGTCACACTTCATTTATTAAAATGTAAGTCATTTCATTAATATCACTTCTTCATCTATGATAGCTTACATTATACACCAAGCCTACTGAAAGTCTAAAATACAAGTTTACTGTGTGGTAGGCAGAATCATCGGCCCCAAATTGTAATCCCTATAACCTGTGGCTAATTACTTCTCACATCAAAGGGAGTAGTTTAAGTTTGCAAATAAAATTAAAAGTGATAATCAGATAGTCTTAAAAATAATGTTATCCAACATTGTTCTATCAATCACTTTCCTGTCATGGGCACAAAAATCTCTGGCAATCACAACTTAAAGGGGGAGAAGTTTATTTTGGCTCATAGTTTCAGGGCAATTAGTCCAGTTGGCTTTCTCCAAGGCAGAAATGGCAGTGTAAAGGTATGGTTGGTGAAAACTGGTCACATAATTTTAGACTGAAAGCAGAAAGAGAAGGGAAGAGCTGGGGACAAAAATAAACCCTTTCAGGTCATGCCCCTGTGACCCACCTGGTCTGACCAAGCCCCAGATTGTATAGCATAGTTGACTATGAACTCATCATTGGTCCGCTGATGAGTACAGTTCCCTAATCATTCAATCACTTTTCAAAAGTTTCATCTCTTAACAAAAGACTTTTGGGGAATATTTGAAATGCAAAACATAACAATAGTCTAGGTGGATTCAGTGTAATCACCAACAATCTTTATAAGGACATGGAAGTAGAAGAACCAGGACAGCACCCTGTGAAGGGACTCCAGTGTTGCTAGTTTGAAAATGGAAGGATGGCATCTTAAGTTAAGGAATGCAGAAATTCTAGAAAACCTAGAATAAGTAAGAAGACAGACTTTGCAGACCTTTTCAGGGATAATGCCCTGATGACATCTTGTTTATAGCCCCGTGAGACCCATTGCAGACTTCTGATATTCAAGACTTTGTAATAATAAATTGTGTTGCTTTAAATCACTAAGTTCATGCAAATCTGTTGCAGTAGCAACATGAATATAACAGAATTCTTGGTCTACACATGCATGAGGAGATACACAAACGTACACAAATACACACACACACACACACACACACACACACACACACAGATAAAAGAGAGTCCATCCAGAAACTAGAAATGGCTGGCAGATGTCTTCTGACATAGAATTTAGTAAGAAAATATCCCAAAGTTGTGAAGGCACCACTATTTGCTGACATAAAGAAAAAAATGCAGTAAATATATCAAAAGCTTTACTGTGTAAGACATCATACAAATAAATGCAAACAAAATTAATAAAATTAAGTAAATAGCCAAAGAATTTCTACAGATAATTCACAAAAAAGTAAGGAGCTTGTAAAATATGAAAATGCTTCAGAAGTTATAAAACATTGTAAAAAAATACATTTAGAAATGTCAATTTGCTCATTTTATTGACATAGTTTTTAAGCTCTACTAAGGGTACAGCAAAGCAAGCATTGTTTTTTAGCGCTCTGGCAAGATAAGAGATGCTGCAAGCTTTTTTTGTTGTGTTGCTTTTCACTGACACTTAATTATACCTATTTATCAGGTTAAATATTTCAAAATAACTAGGAAAAAAGAATTCTGAATATTCTTACCACAGAGAAATCATACAAACTTTCTAAAATCAATTTAATAGTGCGTAAAACAAGCCATAGAAGTATTTGAAGGCACTTTTACTGTAATTTGCTCCTAGGAATAAGACAAGAAAAAATATAGAAGTCCAGGCATGGTGGCACACATTTGTAATCCCAGCACTTGAGAGGGTAAGGCAGGAGGATCACCACAAGTTCAATGCTAGCCTAGCGACATAGTCAGTTTAAGGCCATCAGGAACTACATAGTGAAATCCTGTCTCAAAACAATAAAACAAAGCAAAAAAGTACTAATATTCATCATAACATTTATAATTTAAAGTCACTTTCAATAATAGAATATTGCTTAAATAGATTACATGTGATCAAATGTATGTAGTCATTAAAACTAATTTATTAAGAGTAATAATATGTGTTCTAAAAGCATAATCATGATATATAGCAACTACATGAAAAAAGGTAGGAATTATAGTAGAAAGTTATTAGTGGCCTCATGTTGTGGTTCTCCAAAGGGGTGGGAGAGTGAGACAGTGCAACTTCGGGAAGGTTATAGAAGATTATAGTTGCATCCACATGCTGCCAAAATGCCCAAAAGGCACTTCAGCTTAGAAAAGGAATATAAAGGAAAAGGAGACCAAACTAGATTGTCAAGTAAACCTGCTCTTGAAAAAGTGGAGCCAACATAAGGCAGTAGAACTCCAATCTTCAATAGTAGAGCTATCCAAAAATGTCATTTGTAAATATTTTATAATAAAGATATGGTGAAGAAACAGACTAACAATAGAAAGTCAAGAAGATAAATTTCTTCAGCTATTGAAGTAGCTATTTTTCATACCTATCAAACAACTTAGAATAATCTTAGACTAAAATAGGTACATCAATTCTGTCCTCCAGGAATTGCAGTGTCTCTGACTCTATAGAATAAAAATCATTTTCTCAGTATAATAAGACCAGAAAACAATATGAGAAGCTATGAAAGCTGTACTCCTTGCTTGCATTTATTCTTTGAATCACTAGTATACAAAGTATAAATGATGTCTTCTATTTCATTTTACCACAATTAATCAGCAGAAAGCTATTGCATTTTCATATGATACAATTAACAAAACAATTTAGTAGCTAGATAGAATTTACATCTCAGAACATTTTAAATAATTAAGCACATGATTGCTATTTAATTGATAAGCAGAAAGTTTTGATTCCTTTTCTGGATTCTAAGCATTAAAATAGTGTAATAATAAGTATAGTATAAATTGTTCTACAAGAAGTTAAAAATGCTATGAATAATCTATGCTTGTTTGTAAATTCTATATCAAAATCAAAATCTAAGAGAAATATCTAGAATTATTTTCCCTCATTCTTGTGTTTGTTTATGGTTTTATGAGACAGTCTTGCTATGTAATCCAAAATAGCCTCAAACTCGCAATCCTCCTGCATTAGCCTCCCTAATGCTACTTGCATATTTTTGAGAAGGCTATTAAGGTGACATAGAAAGGAAATATTCTCTTAAGTTACAGCTTTGTTTAAAATGATATTTTTCTTTTATAATTTCATAGAAGTTATTAACACCTATTCTTTATATTTAGGAATGTCAGGTATAAACTTTTTAAGATACATATTCTTTTCTTCTTTGCAGTTGGTTGGTTTTGTGTATGCTTGTTATGTGATCAGTATTTCCATGGAAGAGGAAGACACCTGTAAGTACTGTTACATTTCCATGTGGGTTAATTTTAGATTTTAGTTATTATAAGACTATGGACCGCTTCATATTTAAAATCCAAAATGACTAAACTAGGCATAATGATGCTATAATTAGAGGTTGACAACTAAACTGCACACAAAGCAGGTGAAAACTAGATTTTGGTGGTAACATGCATATAGACTCAAGGGCCTGAAGACTGCTGTTATGTGATGGTCTTACTAGGTTTTCAGAAGGGACCTAACAGTAACCAGAGTAGATAATAAGAGATTGCTTTATCTATCACTGAACATTTGATGTTGGTGGCAGAATTTTGAACTCTAATAGTAAAATATAGTACAATGCATTATAGCAAAATCCATATTCATAAAACTAAAAAATGCTATGATAAAATCAAAATTACAACCTTCAAAGTAGGATATAAAAAGTACAAGAGATACTACAAAAGAATAGGACACTTAGAAACTGTCGTATTTTAGCCCCAAATAAAAGACCTACAGTTATGTTATAGCGATTTAGCAACAGAGGGCATCAAATGTCATTTATCGAGCACTTGCAAATATGTAAGGCATTCTTTTCGCAACTGTCTTACAGGTTCATGTGTTACCAAAGAAAATTTAGATTTATTTTCTAAAAGTTATTTATTATACACAAATCAGAGCTAACTAACCTGGAGATTTACCACTGGCATTGCAATTATATTCAAAATTGTAAAATCAATTATTTAACAAAAGGAAAATAAATAGCTAGCCATTTATAACCTCTTCCTAGAACCAAATTTTAAAGGAATCCGATGTTGTACCCCATTAAATATGTATAGTATAAGACACACAGATTGGAATCCAATTGACAGTAGGATATCTTTTCAATTTATTTGGTTAACTGTAAGAAATATTAGACCTTGTGTTTAAATTTATCAGATGATAAAGACATGCACAAGTATTGTATCATATATTTTGTATTTTACTTGGGGATTTTTTTAATACTAGATGAGCCAGAGAGTTCCTTAAACTTCTAAATTGTAATGACAATACATTTTACTTTGATGTTACTTTTAAAATTGTGGTTCCAACAGTTCCATTAGTTCTACAAGCTGACAAAATTAATGTACAGAAAGTAAGCAGCAGTATACTTCAATTCTCAGCCAAGACAGACTGCATGGCCAGAAATAATTGGTTGATTAGAAATGACTTTCACTGAAACTGTGACTTAAAGAAAGTTTTTGGGATTTGGGCTAAGTGTATACTTCAAAATTTGATACATTAGTATCCCAGCTGGATCTCTTGTGAAGTATTTTTGAGAAGGTGTTCCTCAAGCCCACCCTGACAAAGAACAGTCCTTGTTCTTTTTCTCCTCACTAAACTGATGGGAGGCTCTGAATAGATGCCAGTAATTCTGTCCAATCTTATTTTGGAGAAATGGCAGAGTTATCATTAGTCTCTTTTTATCTAGTAGAGTAAAATAGAAAAGACGTTTTCAAAGTCTGTGATTTTAAGTAAAACTAGGAAAAACAAAATGACATGCAAAATAAAAGGCTCATCTGAGACAGGTAAATGTCTTTTGACCTTCTATCAGCCCTCTTTTAAAATAATGATGTCAGTGAATATGGATTGTATTGCTACTAGCAGACAGGGTAGTCCCATTGACTTTGATTCCTTTAATTAACTTGTTTCTCTACAGAAATCTCTGAATCAGCTATTTTAATGCCCATCAAATTGAGATTGAAGCAGTTACTAGCAGTCTCATTCTATTAATGGTTTAATTTTAGTATTTATTATTAGGGCCATACATTAAGTTACCAAGAGGCATCTGGATGTAATAGCTGCATTGCCATCGATTCAAATAACATTCAGAGTCAGAAAGAGCCTTAGGTGCTCAAAACAAAATAAATATGCCCAACTTAACATGATAATCTGCTGTAAGACAGAGGACAGTGAAAAGTAATCACAAACCTTTTAGTCTGATAGTTCTCAAACAAGGTAATTTTACATTTTTATTGAAAGAAGGAGGAATATAAAGTGCAGATGTAATTAAATTTTTCCAGGCTCTTCAGAAGGAAGATGTGAGCAAAAAGTAATGTCTACAGCCAATTGCAATGATCTCATAGACTGGGGCAATTTGTGCCAACACTAAGCTTTTAGGCAAAGTAACAAACTGATCTTACCAACCCACAGACAGGAAGATATGTCTCTGCGTTGTTTTTCCAAATGCAAAATGCAAAAAAAGAAAATAATGTTGGTAATTTTCCAGTCTGTTGATGTATTTATTCTGAAAGATAACTGTAAATATAATGTGACAGTATTTTCATAAACAATATATCATTTATCATTCTGATTCTTGTTCAAATTATTGAAAATTTCTGAATTGTTCAAAACACAAAATTAAGCTCTGTCTAATGATGAAAACTGCTAGCTAGCCTTAAAAATTAACAACCCTGCTTCTCTCCTTTTCCATAGAACTAATATTTCAGACAGACATTTCTGAAGAATAATAAATACTTGAAGAAATGTTCATTTCCAGCCACCTATCATTTTACTTGCCTCTTGGCCTTTTACCTATTTCTTATAAAGATTATGATCTCAGGTCAAAAACAATGAAATAAAACTGGCAAAGGCATAGTGCTACGTAGGGTCAATACGTTTTATCATTTGTCATAATATAAAAGCCAATTTATATATCTTATTTCTACTTTTTATTTTTTTATTTTTGTATATCAACCTCTGTGAATATTTTTGGGAGGCTAAGATCTTTGGAAACTGTAATCATAAAAGCTTGTCAACATCTTGTTTGTGAATCATCTACTGCTACAAATGAACTTGCCAGCTTTTTACTGTCTTGTTAAGACTTGCTGAAAACAATGTTTGTAATTCCAGGAAGTGTGGAGGCAGGGCAAAATATCCTGAAAAGTAGTGCTTCACTTATGTAAATACTATCAGACTTTCCAAAGGATCTGCTCAGCACTACTTCATGTTAAGTTTGGAATTGCACCTGGGACTTCTTTTGTAACTCCCACTGTCTTAGTCTGGGTTGTATATGTTGAATGGTAAAAAAGAAAAATATACTGGCAAATAAATAGTTTTTGAAAATTAAATGAACTCTTCAGATGTGGCTTCCATATTTTACACTGAAAAGCTCAAAATAGGTCCATTTGAGTTTTGTTAGTGCATTTTTGAGGAACTCCTCATTAGAAAGAAGTATGACTAATAGAAAAACGTGTGTCTCTACTGCCCTCGAAGATTCCTGCTGGCTAGTGTTCATGTATATACCTATCTGCTCACGAATTCCTTCTGAGAGGATGGATACAATGTTACCATAATACTGATATGAGTTAGAATTTTTTTAAACATCCTATCTCCTAAAGCTTTACTAGAAATTCTAACCAAAAAAATTGACTAGCTTGAAAATTAAGTTCCAAATTTTCTTTCCTTGATTTATAATAAATGGGGAAGATTCAGAAAAGTGATGGCTGCAAGGTCAGGAGAAGGATATAGAAGAGGTATGCATGATTCTCAAAATAGAAAACAGGAAAATGTTGAGAGAATCAAAAATGGAGAAACCCATGAGAATTGGGAAAGAGTGATTCTGAAGTCATGGCTGACATGTTAAAAGAATCAGTGTTTGCCCATTCTGAAATTAAGGATCTCCTGGTTCTCAGAGAGTGGACTTTATTTTAATAAATATTTGGTCATTGCCTTGCAGGCCAGTTTCCTCATCTTCCTCACAAGAGCTCAGAGTTAGAGCCCTAAGCATTTCTCCTCATTTTCTGAAAGGGGTTTGACATAGAATTACAAGCACTGAGCTAGAATACATTCATGAAAGAGAGATCATTGTTTAGAAAAGTGCTTTTTACTTTGCATTTGATGAAGAAATGCTTGTTAAATTTATATTATTAATTATATTGAGCCTGGAAACTCATTTTTTTCTAAAAGATTTCAAGATCTCCAGGTTTATGAGATGATACTATGTTAGGTTTAGAATTTGATAAGATGTTTTATGCATTTTCAAATATTTATGGGGTGAAAAAATGGAAGTCCTGAATTTCCTTACCATCATTAGGTTTACTTTTAATGCTTTTGAATGTCAAATGTAAAGATGGATTAAATCTCCACTGTACTACACTACATGAGAACAAGATTATGATTTTGTGGACCCTGGAACAAAGCAACTCTGAGAGAAGAGAGGCTCATTGCATCTAAAATAAGGCAGATACTAGGGACTGGACTCATCTGTAAACCATGTCTAAGGAGATAAAGCTACTGGCAAAGGGTGACAACCAGTAGCCTGTGACCTCACCCAGCACATGGGTGGAAGGCCGCACAACACAGCATAAGCTCCAAGCTAAAACACTGTGGCTAAAACACAACATTTCAATCCATGAGTAAGTATTAAGAAATTCTTTCCCAAGAAGAATATCATAAGCACCCAAATGCCAAACCATGAATCAAGATACAAAGAGAAACTGTCTGTCTCCAGGCACAAAGAGAAACTGTTTCACTAGAACCAGCTCCAAAGTCAGCATCAGGCTTGGAAAAGTTCTTCTTAAGTCAGAACTTTTAGAGGTCAGCCTGACTAGTGATCATCTACAGTCATCAATTCTGCTCTTCTAACTTACTCATCTCCACCTACAAGTCTTTTCCTTAGTTTATCATGTTTTTGCACACTTGCATCTTAGAGAGCTCCCTCCCTTTCTCTCTGTCTCTCTCTCTCTCTCTGTCTCTCTGTGCGTGCGTGTGTGTGTGTGTGTGTGTCTACACACTATCTTGCATACAACTGCCAATTTCCAAATTTAGTGGCTTTTCTCAGGCTAGATTAAGGCAACTATGATAAACTGCTATATGCTTTCACTGCACATTGTGCTTTTTCTTTAGGAATACTGTACACAATTGTAATTTTTAATATGTTATTCACCAGAGCCAGGCTTACTTATTGTATATAATGAGTACTCTGTACAATAATCAGTGAATTAATACTATTTATATCAAGGTATATGAACAAATG